CGAAGTCATCAGAAGTAGGTAAATTTGCTAATCATAGGTTAGTGCAGAATAGTATTGTTGCATTGACCAATGGATGACTTGTTATACGAACATTTTTAGATTAAATGTGTATCAAATTTCAGTGTAGAACGTCAATGATTTGCACGACCGTGTATGATCGCTGCAATTGAAGCACGCCAAATTTGGGACGTTATTGCGCAACTCAGAAATAATTTTATAGTGTAGGTACGCATCTATGTGCGTGTAAGCGTGTTTACCTGTATTGTAATTAATTTTTTCTAATTGGAGGATAGGGCTATTAGTGAACCACCCATACGAAAGGTTACGCACCTTGACAATACTTCAATAGTGGCTTTGAAAATGAATAGAATTATTATTACCTACCTACCTAGAGATATTAATGTACCTATTAAAGTTTCCATAACGTTAATTTTTAATTTCCTTTGTGTTTTTAAAACCATGTCAATGTGTACTTTAAATAGTACTGCATACTTTAGGTGGTTATTTGATTGCTATCGCAATAGGCGTCTAAATGTGTAATAGCCTGATAGTAAGTAATTGATAGTTACTTTATCAGTAGTTCTACAAAGCATCATTGTTTAAATTTTTCATCTATGTACTTACTTAGTTGTTCTCGCAATTTCTGTATACCAATTGCAATTCACTTCTTTATTTCATCTAGTTAACACTCTTCAATGCTGAGCTACTTACTTCAGAAACGCTCTGTACAAATAAAAATATATGCAGTTTCTTTCCATAACTACCTAACGCTGACCACCGGAGTTTGTATGTTGTAGTAGTCTCGATACTCTCGTCGTGTGGTATGATACTTCCATTCAGGTAGCAGTGATGATATGGAAGATACAATAGTTAAAAGTAATCAATTTCGGACACATTCATATCTCCACCAATGTGTCCTAAATGATTCGTGTATCCTTTGGATGTGAAGCTGCGGCTCTTTAGTTCCATACGAAAATATTATTTATTTTATCAAAAAAAAAACATTTAAAAATCGTTCTGAATTGATTAACGAGGATTAGGCACTGATTCCATCTCTCAGTCACTTGTACTCGCTTTTCACCGCATCCCAATAGTCTTCCAGATTGTTACAGTGACGTGAAGAAGTTGGCATGTGGAGTGCTGACTATCTTCGGATCGACATATTCGTGCGAGCAAGCCCTTGCATGAATATAATTAAAAGTAAAGTAAGAAGCCAACTAACAAATTTAGAGTCTTGTTTGAGACTTAAAACAACAAGTTATGAGCCAAATTTATCCAAACTTTTTAAAACTATGCAAAGCCAACACTCTCATTGAATTTGTTTGCTCAAATGTATGTTATTATTCCTTTCTTTATTTTAACTACAAGTTACATTGTTTAGTAAAGTTTAAATTTTCTACTTGAATAACCATGCAAAGCCATGGCTCCCATTGAATTTGTTTGCTCAATTGTTTGTTATTGAAGTACAAGTTAGTGATGTATATAAATAGATATTCTTTCCTATGAATAAATAGATTAGCTTTTTATAAAAAAAAATTATTTAAATGCGAGTACTATTTATTTTTGGCAAGGAAAAAATTTGTGGCTCTTTGAAAACATTGAAATTTTGTAAATTGTAATTTTCGACTCTTCTGACTCAAAAGGTTGCCGACCCCTGTTCTAGCGTGATTTTTTTTTGTTTTAGTGGAAGAGGGGAAATCTTCAAAAGACACCCAGCCGTCCGTACGACTGGGTAGTGTCGGATTCCCAAGGAAGAAGTCCTCGGACCTACCGAGTAAAACCCCTCTACCTCAGGCCGTTCTAGGATCAATTAAGGTTCTAGTGTGATTCTCCGCTGTTACCATACGTATATAATTCTCCTTAGGCAGAATGTTCTGGAGTGAGCTGGTCTGGAAGCGTCAGGAACGTTCAGAAATGTTCTAGGACTATTATGTATGGGCTGGCTTGTAACCTTGTATTAGAGATATATATTACGAAAAAAGTGTTCTAAAAACTGTTACGAATTTCCTAAAATATTCAAGATTACTATAGTTTGGTGTATGTTCATTTGCGGGTCGACCACTGGCCACTAAACAACATTTTAGAATAAGTGTATACTAGAATAAGAAAAGTGGAATATCCAGCTGGCAGACAGTGTATCACCATCTAATAGGTATTTAAGCTAAGGCTTGTTTTAAGTAAAAAGACCATCTTCAAAACCATCGTGTTGATTTAGGTCTCGCTTTGGCGGGTAATTGCTTATTTTATACTTTTAATTGTTAAATATAATTTATAAAATACTATTTAGGAAGGATCTCAAAAGCCGATGTGCAGTTTTGGTATTATAAAAACCTATAATCGTAGATGCATGGATTTCTTCTATTAATTAAAGGAACAACAGTCAAAATCGTTAACGTCGTAACGTTATAGTTACTCATGAAATGCAAGTTTTAATACGTCGCCTTTATTTAAGGTGCAATATAGAACATAAAATGAAGAAAAGGAATTTAGTTCTATTGGGTTTTATGATTATACTGTACTTGTCTTAGGATCTACGAGTCTGCTTGTGGTTCCGATGGTGAAACTAATTCCAATAAATGTCACTTTGAAAGTGAAGCTCCTAAATTAGACAAAAAAGGACTACGGATTGTCAAAGGCGGACAAGGGGAATGAGCTATTGGGGATAAAGCAAGAGCGTTAGCTGAACAAAATGCCGGAACAGTAAAATTGAGGGCATCTAAAAAAAATATGTATGAAAGATTTGCAACAATTGTCCTGTTAAAGTTTTATGCGGTGGTAGGATCTCGTAATAATATAAGTAAAAGAAACAGTGATTCTAATGAGAAATGCCGGTTTTTTCTTTTCCAAAAAACAAAGTGTTTTTGAATTCCTAAACGATTTATTTGCAATTCTGACTTATGGAGTATTGGTTACTCCAGCTTTACAAAACTGCAGTTCATATTTATAAACAAATTTATAGTTTATTGCAAAAATCACGAAAACTTCTTCCACCCATTAACATGCATAAGGAGAATGTTTCTAATGATTGTGATACTCCCTCCCCTTTCCCCAGAATTAACTAGTTACACTATAATTTAGGGAAATTTAAAGTTAATGGGTAATCATAAAGTAGGTAAGGATAAAAAATATACCTAGCTAAACGAGCCACGAAATTTCAAAAGTGTTACCATCATAAGGTCGTGAGTCCTAGGACTGGTTGGACACGCAACTCCACCCTTTCGTTTCCTGAGTATTATTTGCGAACAGTAATCTAATCTAGGTCTAGCTCTACCCCTCCTAACTCCCGTTTCTGCCTCTAATACGTCTCTGATTAGACCTTCATTCCTGAGAAGGTATCATACTAATCTATCTCGCCTATCCCTTATTGACTTCCATAGAGTTCTCTGTTCGCCTATTCTATCTAATACCTCTTGATTATAACCTTCTCTATCCATGGTATCCTCATCATTCGCCTGCTATACCACATTTCAAACGCTTCTAACTTTTTCTTTTTCACCCGGCCCACTGTCCATCTTACGAACCCGTACATCGCCGTGCTAAAATCATACACCTCTAACTTGACTTATCTGGCTTCCTAGAAATCTAAAATCGGTCACTTCTTTTAATTTTTCGTCTCCTATCTGTATATTCCCTCTTTCCCTATTTTTTCTTCCCTTGTATACCAGTATTTTTGTTTTGCTTTAATTTATTTTCATACAGTACTGTTTTGTCAATATATTTAAAGCTGTCTCTAACTTCTCCTTGCTAGATGCTAATACTGCTATATCATCTGCAAATCTAAGCATACTAATCTTTGCCCCCTGCATAACTATCCCTACAGTTGTACTGCCTGTAATGGTGTTGATCACGTCTTCGATGTATAGATTAAAAAGTAGCGGTGACAGTGTGAATCCCTATCGGACTCCTTAATCTTTGCGTCTTTACGTTGCAGCCCCAGCTCTATAACTCTGTTGCTCCTTATACAAACTAAGTATCACTTTTCTATCATTGTCGAAAGCTTTTTCTAAATCTACAAAGCCTATGTACACACTTTCTTTTTTCTATCGTTTTCTCTGTTGTTACCCGTACTAGTTCTTCCACTCTTTTTTCCATCCTCCTCTGTACAATTCTAATTAAGATTTTGGACGCATGGAAAGTTAAGTTAATTGTTCTAAATGGCTCGCACCTATCCTCGCCTCTCTTTTTAGGTATGGTTACTACCACATTCCGCTCACTGGAGTTTTCTCTGTGACTAACTAGGTTAAACATACGATCTCTAACCTCTTGTCTTGCATGGTTTGGAATTTCCCCCTAGGTATATCATATCTACACCCGGCGCCTTATTATTTATTTATTTTTTACTGCTACATCGAACTCTTCTCTCATGGGATAACCTAGCTTATCTATCTCCACACTATTTTCCTTCTGTTATAAATCTCGTACCTCATGACCTTCTCTGAATATATTCTTTCCACCTATCTTTCACCTTTCAAAAGTGTGTTTGGTGAAAAAATCCAAAACTTTGTAGTGAAAGCAAACGTTTTTAACTAGAATTTTAGATAAAAAAATGATCATTTTATTGAAATTTATTGGAAGAAAATACGTTTTCGAAATCGTTGTTTAAACAACATACCGATTTGATAAGGTACTGAACATTTGAGATAGACAAACGATTTTCATGGACGACATGATCGTTATAATCTACAAATATCACAATAATAACTATGGTAGAATTTTTATACCAGAAATGCTTCATATGAGTATTCCTGCGTGGGTATTGACTTAAAACATTATTGAGTTTTTGTTTTTACCCTCTAAAAAGATTTCTTTTTAAATTTAAAAATATATTGTGTATTGTAAATACGTAGTTAATTTCCTACCTTATAAATAAAGTTATAGATAAGGAAAATAAAAATAAATAAATTGAATGTTTATAGAAACTAATTTACATGAGTATACCTACAGTACTGCACTTTCTGACATCTATTAATGAATCCAATAAGTATAGTTTCATAAGTACAAAAATCTTCTTTATGTTGTGTAGTCGTTGAATATGAAGGTTACATAATAGAAACCGGAACCTACTGGTTTTAATGACATTTAGTTTAAAAAAAAAATAATTTGCTTTCATAAGTGCAGATTGTAAAATTTCTAGTTTACAGTTTTAATACAATCCCTAAAACAAAAAAGTTTTCGCGTCTTATAACATAATTGTCAACGGCGACATGTCAATTTCGGAAATTTTTCGGTGATTATCGTTTATATAGTAATGTCCTTGTTTTCAAAAACCGGCGTCGCGACGTTGCATATATTCCGACGCAACGTGAACTTATATGCCCCAGAATTTATCTTCAGCTCCGACAATGTCGAAAAATGCATGAAGAAATTTCGTAATATGCGGCCGATAAGATTGCAAGCACAAGAACCAAATCGTAAAGCAGCTGTTTTAATACCTATTTGCGTTGTAAACGGTAAGGTGTCGCTACTATACACTCTTCGTGCGCCACATTTGAAAGCCCATAGAGGACAAGTTAGCTATCCCGGGGGAATGCAGGACATTAAGGATAAATCGCTTACAGAGACGGCTCTTAGGGAAACGGAAGAAGAATTAGGAATCAAACAGGAGAACATAGAAATTTGGGGTACAGGAAATGTAATAGTTACTAGGAACGATATGGTAGTACTGCCGGTAGTTGGTAAAATTAAGGGAGATTTGGCAGATTCCACCCTTCAAATTAATCCTCATGAAGTTGAAGAAGTGTTTACAGTGTCATTGCAAGATTTATGTCATCCAAAACATACTGCTTATACTCAATTTCGGAGTTTATATTATTCCTATTCTATGCCGGTCTTCTTAGGAGGGAAAAGAAGAATTTGGGGACTCACTGCTGTTATAACAAATGTATTTCTAAGAGCTTTGTTACCGTTGAAGGCATATAATCACAAAATACATTTCAATCCACCTATAAAGGCCAATGGTTCTAAACTGCAGCAATTTTAGGGAATGATCATTATTAATAAATTCATTATCGAACTGTACTGTGACTTACAATTTTGGCTTTTTTATTTCTCGTATACATTGTACCAATTTTTACAAATTAAATTATTCAATCTCTTAACCATTAACCATTATTTATGAATTATATTTTCTTCAAAAAATTCTTTTTTTGTGGGTAGAAAATAATTAAAATGTCCCCTATCAGGGGCGGCGTCCATCGCCTCTGGGCAATGAAACCCGAATTTCAGAATGTTCAAATAAGTACTTAAGTAATAATTAAATTAATAAAGCTGTAATTTTTGCAAGCACTGAAATGAATCATCAGTTATCATTACTCAAAAAACAATTTTTTGGTCAGCTACCAGTTTCGTTATTATTAACGAAGTATTTTAACTTATTGACGTTTTGTACAAATGTTTAGATTTTTACCTCGTTTGCACTTCAGTAGTTCTGGGCGAATAAACACAGATGTACAAAATATAATAATTCAGTATAAACAAAGAATAATAATAAAATAAAAATCGTTTGATAAATAAAAAAAATAATTAACTAGTCAACCTAATTTTTGTAAACAAAAAAATAGCAACTCACAGAATCAAGTCCCTCGTGCAGCTGTTGCTCGCTTTACGATGATGCAGAAGTAGAAGCTTCCTCTTGCCTTCTACGAGACAGAAGCGTTTTTAATACCCCGATCGAAATATATGTCAAGACTATAATTGGTTTATCACATTAATATGTGCAACTATCAAGAGGCAAATTAAGCAACTCCTGCCGGAAACAAATTGAAAAACTAGTGCAGCACCCTCATATTCTTTAGTTGTAAAAAATTTGTAAGTATAGACTGTAGGGCGTCAGAGTATGCGACCCTGCGTCGCCCAACACTGGTAAAAACGCGCAAAACGGATGTTTATCGTTGGCGAACTAACCCGTAACTTATGCCCTAAATGAGGTATCAAATTAATGGCTGTAAAGTCCTCTATACGAAAAGTTAATATTACTTCATGAAAGCCTGCCGGAAAGAGGTGACAGGCAATTGAGCGCACTTTTGAATATCTTTTGTGTTATTATTACCTCAGGAAGTCAATTCTACAATATATTGGAAAACAAATTCCTTTTAGTTGTCGAAATCTAAGATATATACGGGAAGAAATGGAATTGTTTCAGGATATTGTAGGAAAGCAAACAATGGCATTATACGTAGGTACACGATAGACCAATTAAAAAGGGGCAATAGATAATATTTATTTTACTTTTCTCGGCAGGTTCTTACAAAGTAGCTAACTGATGTATGGAACTTACCTTGCGTAGGCCTATCCACAGGTTAAATCAGCACAGCTGCACTAGCATGGAATGAGAAGACACCCTGTAATCTCCCCATCATTAGACGGATTGGTCCCAGGAAGTCACCGTGGTGCCTGAGGATTAACGATGCGAATAACCCCCAGGTTCGGGCCTATCCAAATCCATAGGCGTTCAACTCGGTACTACTTCACGAAATAAGCGCCTGCCGCGCAGCTCCCTAACCCACTATGCAGGCTATTAACCAACTGTCTCCTCGAATCCGACATCAACTGGCAGGGAAGGAATCGAAATTAAACTCGTGGGCACCACACCTCCGAGGTAACGGTATAGGAATTCCGATGGGCATTAACTACTCCGAAATCCTCCTCGCTAGATGATATCCGATTTGCCGTAAACGCGGTGTCTCCGGACATCCTTTCAGCCTCCTAGCCCGCCTGAGCTACTACGCTTTTCCCATCTACTGTGCTTTTGCCTAGTGTGTGCAGCCCCCTAATGGGTCAGACTGCACACCAGATCCACGTACAGCTGTTCTGTCCAACAGGCCGTAAAGGGTCAACATACCCTCGACTATATGACCCCACCTTATGCACACTACTTTTCCAGAACTCTTAAATCGCTTTGGGAATGAGCATAGAGAACCTCCCAGAGGACTACTGACTTTTTGGTGTTTGTCGCGGTTTCCATCACAGAAGGTGTCGGTGATCGCACCAGGAGAACCTCCATTTCGGGGGACAAGTTACGTATACATATGTCGACGGGGATGGGCTCACCTACCGCGTCTGTGCTGAGTTTACACCGCGTTCGAATATCAGTTTCGTCGATGACCGTAGGCTACTTCCCACTTGAATTTTGCTTTCAGGTGCTTGGGGGTCATGTAGCTTTGCCATAACGTGCGTATGAGCACTGAACCTCCCTCGAGGTGAGGGGAGTTCTCATATAGCAAGGTTGACTTTTCGGGTAAAGGTCATAAAGATATTTAATTTAATTCCTCATATAGTACATTACTATATAAACCGCCAATAATGGGACCGCGAGGTTACTAGTTAGAATCGACTTTTCCGATAGATGACATCATGATCATTCATGCGATACCTTATTTGGGACGCAACTCTATGGTTATAGTTTGCCAACAATCAACATGGCTGTGCAACAAGGTTAACCGGCGCAGGGTCGCATATTCTGACGCCATACACTACTCTCTACACGTACATGTATTTTTTATTACAAAAAATCATGGATGTACTAGTTTTCCAATTTCTTAAGTCATTCCGAACAGGGTTGTCGTTTCATGGTTCCGTGCATTAAGAGGGGGGGGGGTCGCTTTTATACCAGTGTTTTTAATTAAAAAAAATCGAAATACAGGAAATTAAACTCATCCCATTGCTTTTATTTATTCGACGTTCAACTGAAACACTAATCAAATTAAAAATTAAGCACTGTAGCTGCATCTGTGATTCTATGATTATTATTGTCCAACATGACAGTTAACAAATAACAATTTATTTTATAAGAACCAAACGCTAGCAATTATATATATGTATATACACATCAATTAGTTTAATTACCTGCTACAGGAGAGAGCAAATAAAAATTTAATTTATCCCTTTTTGAAAAATTTTATTTACTTAACATGTAGAAATACAGAACATATATAACTGTACAACTTACCTTACATTAATTGCAAATGAATGCATGTAGAATTACAAAAATAATAATTTTAATAAACGTATACAAATAAAATACTTTATTTGATTATTAACAAGCAACTTCATATTAATTTTCTCAAAAAATCAATGTTTTTGAGAATCAGGTTTACTTGGTGTGATTAAACCAGTCGAACACCCGCATTAAGCTGAACAATAGAAAAGAAAAAATAAAAACAATGCTAAAACACTACTAAATCAATAAAACAATTTTATTATTGATTATGAGTAATAAATTAAAATAAATCTTAACATGCGCTCCAAAAAATAGAAATAAAATCATCAGCATCTTTCTTCTGTTGTCAAATTTTAAGGGCATAAACTATTTAAATCAATACAATTATGCAAAGTTCATCTTTTTTCAGTCCATTGTATACTATTATAAAATACTTCTTGGTTGGGTAAGTCGTTTTTGTTGTACAAAAAAGAAACCAGTTATTAATTGTGCCTTAAATGACCAATATGCTTGCATGACATAATACAAATGCAATTTAAAAGAAAAAACGGTTTTAGAACTCTACTTGTTAAAATAAATCATACAATTATTATAAAGCAATAAATAAATACAAAAGTGTGTTGCACTACACACGGCTGAAGTCTGAAGTGAATACCTCTTATATCAAAATAGAAACTGATGTAGAAGAGCGAAATCTACAGAATGTTGCACTCCTCGACCGTCTCGATTCCAATGTATCCCACGTCAATCACTGTGAACGCGAGTCCTGATAGATCCTGACATAAGAAGTAGTCAATAATGTATATTTCATTTTGTAACAAAAAGGTAGCTATTAATAATCATCATTAAAATTAAGTCGACATTAAGTTAAGGCACAAAATATTGCCTACAAGGAAATAAAATCATAAATTCTTTTTAATTTTAACCACGCCCATTATTATCATTATTATTATGTGAGAATAAAAACAACGTTTTTTCTTTTACTGAACAGATTCTGTTAAAAGTGCCAAATCAATTCCTGAAACATAGCAGATTGGTTACACAGGAAAAGACAAAAGAAGAACGGAAAGGACAACTGAAATGAAAAAATAAAGAGGAAAGGTTTAGGACACAACTGAATGAGCTCAGTTCAACTGACTGACGTCTATAGGTATGGACGTGGTGAAAGTGGGCGTTTCTAATTCTTCATGTTTCTTCATCTTCAACCCCTGCTGAATCTTATAGTGGTTTATGATGTCCTGATCGGCAGGACAGCTCTGTGTAAAAGCATCCAACTGATACATATTGTACATGTAACGCCACAAGGATGTCAATTCCTTCGGTATGTCGAAGTCTACGAAGTATTTAGCGGCAACACGAATATGTTGTAATCGCGGCATCAATTCGCAATCGAAACAGCATATGGTATCGCCTGTCAAGAACCTGGTGTCTCTTCGCCTTAGGTGCTCGTCAATCCTCTTCAGATGAGCCAGAAGCTGAGCGCTCTTCTGCTCGTCTTTCTTCACTAGCACCAACTTCAGCTTACTGTAGAGGTTCTCTATGAGGGTTGCTACTTCTTTGTCCTGGTCATTATATAAAAATAATTGATATTAATGAATTACGATAATTAAAAATTGATTTTTATAAGCAAAGGCAAGTCTAAAAAATATTCCTTTCAAACTGTTGAAGTAGATTAATTTTTTTTTACCAATATCGTAATTTACGAATTCAGTAGTTCGCCTATGTTAATGGAATTAGAATAATTAATGATAAAATTAGTCAATAATCCAAAAACTACTAATGATGCTGTTGATACTGACCTGAACGAACAAATTGTGACCACCGGGAATATTTTTCATTATATGTCTTTCGATTTTTTCATTTTCGAGAATAGCCATACCCCTATCAATAAGAATAGGAGGTGGCGTGGCTTCGAAATTCGTACGAAAATCTGGTGGCGGCTTTTGCATGTCCACCGTAGTCACCTTCAAACTTATCGTTTTCAGTTCAGCAAGAAGGTACAGGTCCATGAAGTACTCTTGGCAAAAAAGGCACGCCCCTTTCCTACGACCATCGATTGTGGAAGCCTAAAAAATAAGACATTGTACTAATGACAGTCCAAGTCATCTCATTTAGAAAAAATATTTTTGTAAACATATCAGTTTTCATGTCGAATGATTGATACGAAATGTTAAAAAAAAATACCGATAGGGTTACGTACATATATATGAATGCATATAAGCGTATGAACCTTTCTACAAAATGGTATATTTTAATAAAATTGAAATGTTAAGGGCACGTAAACCAAATTAATACAAACTGATTAACGATTACGTCCAATTTATTAATTTGGTATACGCCTTTCACGTATATAAACTGCGTTATATATTTAGTTTGTCAAGTATATACTGGCTCAGGTCCTTATCAAATATTGCACTTAACAGTAAATATCAATAGATGGCGAAATACTGCCCATACGTTGATATTATATTAACTTCCTTTCATAGATCAACTGCGGTTGGGTAAGTGGTTTATTGAAACTTTCTTGTAGCATTTTCATAAATTACTGAACAAGAATTTAAAAGTTGTTCTTAATACAAACATCTATAATTTAAAATGATTTTGATAAAGTTTGTAGATTATTTATTAACTTTCGAGTTTATGTAATTAAAATCACCATGAGAAACAAAGATTCTAAGATGCAATCTTTTTGCATTTCTCCAATTGCTTTTTATGATGGTTAATCATAAAAAGCAATTATTATTATTGGTTCAGTCGTTTTAAACCAAAAAACAAAATCGGTATTAACGAACAAGCAGACGACTTAATCTTTCTCTGATTCATGGAAGATGCCAGGTGATTTAGGGAGATATCATTTAGATTACGTACTTGTTAGGCAAAAATTTAAATATCAAGTGAAGGACTGTAGGAGTTATCCCGGAGCTGAGAAAAGAGCTCGATGCATCATTAAAAAACTTTAAGATTAATAAGGCGCCAGATGTAGATCGGATACAGCAGGAAATTCTAAACCATGCAGGACAAGAGGTTAGAGATCATATGTTTAAGTTAAGTTAGTCTCATCTACAAGACGGGGAAGTTCCAGAGGATTATAAACGGAACGTGGTAGTAACTATACCTAAAAAGAGAGGCGCGGATAGGTGCGAGACAAGAAGTAGCTGATTTTAGATGTCTAGGAAGTCAGACAAGTCTGAACGGAAGGAGTAGTAAGGATATAAAGCAGAGGATAGCGCAGGGTCGAGTCGCCTTCAATAAAAAGAAGTCACTTCTATGCTCGCGAACAGTTAACTTAGAAATTCGAAAAAGGTTGCTAAAGGTGTATGTTTGGAGCACGACACTGTGCTGGTTGGAAACATGGACGGTGGGCGCGGCGGAAAAGGAAAGGTTAGAAGCGTTCGAAATGTGGTGTTACAGGCGAATGATGAGGATACCGTGGATAGAGAAGGTTAGAAATGAAAATATATTAGAAAGAATAGGAGAACAGAGGACTCTATGGAAGACAATAAAAAATAGGCGAGATAGGTTAGTAAGACACCTTCTCAGTGAAGGTTTAGTCAGAGGCAGAAACGGAAGTAAGGTGGGCTGGAGGTAGACCTAGATTAGATTACTGTTCGCAAATAGTTAAGGATATGGGTTGTCCCAGTTTTTAGGGAAATGCGAAGATTAGGGAAAGAGTGGAAGTGCGTATCCAATCAGTCTTGGGACTGACGACCTCATGATGATGATGATGAACAATCACATTATTTAAAATGGTGGCCATTAGAGGGCGTTTATGTTTTACCTAACCTATAATCGAACTTGTTTTGAAAAATTTATGAGATACTTTAATAAGACTGGAAATATGTTAATATCCTCAGGAGTGGTAGGTACTATATGGATAATAGAAGCTATAAGAATCGTTACATAATAATGATAAAAATACACGTACACACATGCGTATATTTTGTGAAAGTCTTTATTGCTACCTGTCAAACACCTGTTGTGCTAACGTTAAAACTTGTGCACAAGAGTGAGCATTTGTAGAAATGCACATATGTATACGTATTGAATACTTTCTTTTTTCAATACCTACTCGATAACCGTAATAAAATGCTACCGCTATTGAAAATCTAGAAAGGCGTGTAAAGATTGTTGTTTTTTTTTTATTCACCATACAATTGGTTTAAATAGCTGTCAGTAAGAATATTTTATGCATTTATTGTCTGTGTTTTTTTGTTGTGCTGTTTTTCTTTCAAGTCTTCAATTTCACTTTTTGCAAAAATCTGAATTGGCTATAATTTCATATAATGCTGCTCCAACAATGTAATAAAACCTCACGGACACGTGACAATTCTTCTACTCGATTATTGCTTGGTTAATGAAAAAACATAAATAAGAAGTCTGCTTGTTCATTTATAAAATATGTGAAGAAACTGTCGCTAATAATTATTGATAACACAAAAGTGATACACCTACGGTTCGTTGGATAAGGCGGTTACTCTCGGGCATCAATTTAAACGATAAAAATAATCACAAAACGTACTTAACTTAAAATTGACTTTCGTCTGCAGGTATAGGTAGATCTACGGTAGAAATACGTTTATAGCAAATCGTTAAAAAACAACTTTTGCTGGCAATTCGGTTGGAGTAGAATTTGTATTTTCTTTATAATTCTTTTACAGCTTTATGTTGAGCATATCACTGAAATTCTCTTTTAATTACCATCATTTTGATACACTCCTCAACGATTTTTGTTTTATTTTGTTGAACGGTCAACATAGTGTCTATGTAATTTGCTTTTAATATGATCCAAGAAGACATATTAGAAGTAGAAACAGGAGTTAAGAGGAGTAGTGGTAGACCTAGATTAGATTACTGTTCGCAAATAGTTAAGGATGTGGATTATTCTAGTTTTGGGGAAATGCAAAGATTAACTTAGGGTACGAAAAAATGGAGGTGTATGTCCAACCAGTCTTAAGACTGAGGACTGAGGATTGTGGTGTTCGTGAGGGTCTTGGTTACCAAACGTCTATCTATCTATCCGTCTGTAGCAATAATCTCGTCATACCGTACAAGACGTCCGAATCCTGTCTGTTCTTAACTAGTACTGCCCGCACCACCTTGCACCATACCAGCAATATCATTTTTTCGTACATAATATATCCACCCATATATACACATCAGAATATCACAGTGATGAAGATGATGATCCACGAACACTACTTCATTTTCATCAATTTCAATTATTCAATTGTTAGTAACAATGTGAATACTTTTGGAGAAATCATGATCCTGTTGACTCCTTTAGATCCTATCCTATACTATCGAGGTACAAAATATTTCCTTAAATGATAGTCTGTCTACGTTTAATTCAAAACACCCTCAATCATTTACATTACCAAATGAAGAGATAGCTTTCATAAGCTAGAAACTATTGACTCGACTGCTATTCTACTGATTCTTGTCATTCTAAATAACCTCTCGAGGTATTTCAAAATGTAATGGGCGAAACACGCAAGGGGCGTATTTTACCGCATTTATATTCACGGCATTTCAAATTACAGATGGGACAAGTAGCAGGTTTGGATGCAGTAACCAGCAGGCCCGGCACTCTTTTAAGATCCAACCGAAACATATTTGAACTTCAAACTTTAATGAGATTAGATAGACCAGATCATCAGTTATGAAAACTCCGATATTTGCAAATGTATTACATTCGATGACATTATTAAAGTCGTAATCGACATTACAATAATTGTAAAATACGTAGGTGACACGAAAAATAAGAAAAATTCGAAAAAAAAAAACAATAAAATGTGAAATAAACATATACTGCACACTTCTCTATTGACATTCGACACTAAATTCATTCTTGCAATTAGCATAATCTGTATTCGGACATCCTCATTGAGGTCAATTAAATTTCGTCTGCTTTCTTATTTTTAAATTGAAGGTATTTTTAAATAACGATACAACATATCTTCTGCCATTACCAACTGTACTTATCTAATCAAAACTTTTATAAATTCAAAACCGTTAACGGAAACGTGCGGTTAATTTTATATTTTTGTTTTAAATTAGGTTAACGTTAATTTTGGCGATTAGTTACAGAATGACATTTTTGAAAGCATGTACATACATACTAAAAATAGTATCACACGCAAAATATTTTATAGAAAATCAACTATATATTAATGTGATATAGAAGTATTAGCATCCAGTAACGAGGAGTCAGAGATAGCTCTAAATTGAAAGCGATATTACCAAAACAATATTGTATGAAAATAAATAAAAGTACGATAAAAATACCGGTATGCAAGGAAAGGAAAAAGCGAATATAAAAATAGGAAACGAAAAATTAGAAGTGGCTGATTTTCGGTATTTAGAAATTAACATAAGACGTAGGGTCGAGTAGTCTTCAATAAAAGGGAGTCCATTCTATGCTCGCAAACGGTTAATTTAGAAATTCGAAAGATTGTTAAAGGTGTACATATGTTTGGAGAGCGGCCTGTATGAATACGATACATGGACAGTGGGCGCGGCAGAAAAGAAAAGGTTAGAAGCGTTAAAATGTGGTGTTTGTTACTGGCGAATGATGAGGATATCGTAGATAGAGAAGTTTAAAAATGAAGAGGTATTAGAAAGAATAGGTGAACAGAAGACTCCATGGAGTCAATAAGAAATAGGCGAGATAGGTTGATAGCGGCTGAAGAGGACCCTAGTTGGTCCTAGAACGGCCTGAGGTAGAGGGGTTTTAGTAGGTTGGTCCGAGGACTTCTTCCTCGGGAATCCGATACTACCCAGTCGTACGGACGGCTGGGTGTCTTTTGAAGATTTCCCCTCTTCCACGAAAACATAAAAAATTAGCTCAGGATAGAAGTGGGGCTGCGTGTCCAACCAGTCTTAGCACTGACGACATTACGGTGATGATGATGATGATATTGATGTTGATTAGACATTTAATTCTTTCGTATACATCATTTTGTTACCGAACGAATTGAAAAACGAGCCACCTATCAAACGTAGTGCCTTTGTTTGGTACTCCACGCGAAAATTACAAAAAAAAGTTTGAAGTTCACATCAGTATTTA